ACCAAGAGCTTCCTAGCATACTACACACTGTACCAAGAGCTACTTAGCATACTACACACTGTACCAAGAGCTCCCTAGCATACTACACGCTGTTCTAAGAGCTCCCTAGCATACTACATACTGTGCTAAGACCTCCCTAATTTGATACATAATTTACTAAGAGCTGTCCAACTGCTATTTGGTTTTCAACAACTCCTTTCCTCTTTTATCTTGCACCCATTGCCCATGACCTATGACCCATCCTCACTGGAACTGCCTCACTATCTATCAGTTCTGCCCAGTCTATGACCGTCCAGCTGATTCTTATTTATTTCTGCCTCCATGAAGAGGCTAAATGTCAAGCACGCCTGACTTCTTCTAGTGACACCTCCATTCCAGCAGATAATTACCATAAGGAAATTGATGCTTTGGTGTGCAAAGGGAAATTTAATTTACTCTGACATCCCAGAGTACAATGCCCTCCCAAAGAAACTGGGATTTCAAGTCACCAATATTAAATTTGACTATTTAAAGTGATTACCAGTGTTGAACGTCTTAGCGTACTTTAAATGTTTAATCTCATTACAGCATACATGTTGTTTAAGGTGCGGGGGAAGGGGGGGTAGTGTCTGAAAGCTGCTTAAAGATGCATGAAATGGGTCAGCCTGCACCTTTTGTTCCCTGGGTCATAGAGTTTGTTGGGTGTTGATACGAGACAATCTGGCTGATGCTTTTTAATAGCATTGTAGTCTTGCTGCTTACGTACCAATGGGTATCATTCTGTCAAATCTATACTTCATTCTCAAATTGAAAGAAAAGATGTAAGATGTGGATTTCTGTGTAAATATTCTGAGCAACTTATTTGGTCATTTAGAACCAGGGCAGCTACATCTATCACATTTGTCTCTAGAATCTATGATGCATTGGTCTCTATGGTAACTATAGGATAATACCAAGAAATTAAGCCAAATTGGAACGTTTGTTATAGGTATCTTGTAGAATCACTTTACTTGCCTAGTTTTGCCAACCGGTCAATTGCAAGACCGTTGACCGTGATTCAATTTCCAGTCCCCCCCGATCAGTGTAATATACCAAGCCCCCCCCCCCCCCCTCAGGCGGCAAAATATGCCATTTGTTAGCTCACCAGCGTATTTTCTTTGCAAAAGTAGCTCTCACGGTGAAAAAGGTCAGAACCATTGCTTTATAGTTTAGCTGCATAATTAGCAGTCAGGCTTAATCGCCGCCTTACATAGTTGTTGGGCACTAGTAGCCCAAATAGCAGGACAATACATGTAATTAAATTTTTCTCTCTTATTGGGCACCACTGGCAAATAACCGTCACTAGGTTGGGCCCAGCTTTAGCTGAGAATCTATTAAGGAAGACTGTTGGTCAGTCTGGTAGAAATTCCATTTTGCATTTGATTTCGAGATGTTTAGATGTAATGTTGTGAAAAAGCGCTATACAAATAAAATTGAATTGAATTGAAATGAATTGAATTGAATTGAACATTGAAACTGGTGCTTTCGTTAAATAAACAATGACCAAACAGAAGAAGGCCGACTAAAACAAAATCAGCTGTTTGTGAGAGGGACACTCAGCCTTTAAATAGCAGTTATTTTGTACTTCACCATGCAGAATATTGCTTTGGACAACCATTTTATCATCTCGGCAAGGCTGGAGTAAATATTTAGTGTTTAATCAAAAGGAAAGAGTTTTAATGGCAGCATTAGCATACGAATCAGTGGCAGAGCAGCTCTCTTTGGCTTGGAGGAAGCACGGCAGTATCTAACTGGTGTTTTGTGTGCTGGGGATGAATCAAAGGTAATTATGAAGCAACAACAAAGCAATTTCAAGTATCTGAACTGAAATCAGCCTTTTCTGATTAAAAAACCAATAACAACTACTTCATAGTTTCAAATCATTATCCTTGAAGCTTAGATTTTCTACAACTGTATCTGGGTCATCTATGTAATATTTATGATATTATGCAGGGATATTATTTATCTGCAAAGGAGACACATGATGGTCACCTCACACCTCCTAGATTGGTTGTTCACATCCCACCCCTGGAGAAATAGTTTGAGTTAGACTGCAGGTCCCCACAACCCTGTTCTGGGTTATAAGATGGATGGAAGGAGGGCACCATTTAAATATATAATTTCATGTAATTAAGATTGATTTAGAATTTATGTTTAAAATTTGTATTTTATGCACTTGATAATGTAAAAATACAGGTATCATAAGCCCTTTCACTAACATTGGCTTTATGTTTGACAATCGAGGATTGTATGATGGCTGGAATTACTGCTATCTAATGCTATCTGCTACAAAGAGCTTTGCTATAAGCCACCACCAGCCCTGTCCCCCACTGTCTGGGTGTTGTGTGACACTACGTAAATTAAGGGTCTCATCTTTCTTATTCTTTTTATGTTGTGCATCAGTGTTTCATTCATTTCAGTGCACAAGGCTGCAGGCATTTCAACAACATGTTAAGGCTGTGTTTGACATCCCAGAATGCCCTACAGCAGAGCTGTATGTGTGGAAATTCCTCTGCTGGTCACCATGTCGTAAGTGTGCAAGCACCCAGGCCTACATCTGTGTCTAAGCCCTCATATGACTAGTGACAGGACAGAGTAACCTGACTCTTATCTTGTTGTTGACTAAAGGTGACATTTATAAGTTGTCGAAATTTTGGGGAAAAAAAAATGCAAATTGATATTATGGTACACATACACTTACTTTATTCTCTTATAATACACGTCATACTATAATCCTTAGTAGCACTTTTAGAAATTACAACTTTCCAGGTATTAAAAGGATAACAGGCAAAAATGATAGGAAAAGCATTTAAAACTACATGAATATATGATCATACTTCTGAAATCCTCCTAAACCTTGTAAGTTACTCGTTCTGATCCTGACATGGAAAATGACATGAAGCAAGGCTGTGTCCTACTGTCCCTCTTGGGGAGAAGGTGTGGCAGGTATTTACTGCTGTGTCACTGGGATACGCTGGTATCTGAAACACAAGGAAAGGCTGTGAAACCTGCTAAAAGTGATTGGAGAGGCCTCACTCTGCTGACTCACTCCCGTTCCCCTGAATTCCCCGGGAGCAGGGCCAGTAGAACCCAGGCTCTCCGCACCGTCCGCTGGCCGTGAGCGTCTGGGCCCCTGCAGAGCAGAAGGCTGGGCTTGCTGATAAGAGCTGACTCTCACCTCTGATGAGTCAGCAGCCCAGACCATCCCCACAGAGGCCCGAAAAGAAGGAACACTGGGAAAAGGCTGTGAGATTTTCACTTCTCTTTTTACCTGCAATGACGGGCAACATTCATTCTAGCGGAAACTTCATTTAGTGAAATAATGATAGAACATGGGAAAGAAATGAAGCTATTCATTTGGAGAATGATGATGAAGAACTCATTATTTATTGACTATTTCTATAAATATTAATTCACAAATGATGTATTTGGATGAATTTGTGGGAAAAAAATTGTATCAGCGCATCCATTTTGCTATATATTTCTGATAGAGCACTATCTGAGCAACAACTTTGCAGCACTCGTTCAGCAAGACTTGCACAAACACTGAAAGATAAATGAAGAAATATTGTATCCACTCATCTATATTGAGTTTTGCCATGTAAAAGTGGAGTGAGATGATGGATTGATCCGAATCGATACCACAATTGTACAGGCATATTGATGGATGGATGGATGGATGGATTCTTCCCAAATTGGAAAGCACAGTGAGTTATATGGAATGATGGAGAAGAGCTTGCAGGATGCATTTTAATATTACGTTCTGTCATTCACACATGGTTTCACCCAACGTAACACTGGTTACCTTAGTGTTTCTTGTGGAGTTTTTTTTCTATTCTTTTAATCCTAGTTAGATTTGTTTGAATGGCGCAGTACTTTGGTCAACCCCTGTTTTTTGGAATGTACTCTATAAATAAATTTTAATTTGATTGCATGTTATCCCTACTGACTGAGTTTCTCACACCACTGTTTCAAATGACTGCACACACAATGGGGAATTCAGAATCAGACTGTTATTTGCTGCTTAACTTTGGAATTTCACTTGCTCTCAGAAAGCAGCTCCACCTGCCTTGGAAACCACATGCAGTCAATTTCAGTTTTTGAGTTGCTGCTTGAAGACACCCACCCTTACCACACAAGCAAAACCTGGCTATGAAGGGGGAAGGGTGCGGCTATCCTTGGGGAGGCCAATGCCAGGTGATGAGGCTTTCATTTACCTTCAGTCATTTTGCTGATGACGTAAAAGTAGACCACACAGAGCAGACCACATGATCTTTCCTTAAAAGGGTGTAGATTTGGGTATGGATGGTTGGGACATTAACTTACCAATATTGTAGGAAGATGCTGTGTGGGGGCTTGGGGCTGATTAGGTCCCTACCCTATGTTGAAATCAAATCTACGTCCTCGTTCCCTCGCAGACCTGACTCCCGTACGTTTCCTAGCCATTGTCGCATTCATTCCTAAAGCCAAAACATTCATTTTCATTCCTATCCTTCATTTGTTAAACTCACAGACACCCAAACCCTAATCACACAGATCTCAACATCAGTTCTCCAAAGAGGAACGTCTGAGTCTACAGAAACATAAGTCAGTGTCATCATTTCTATATGACTATCCCGATTTCAGCTGGCGTCAACCAAACTGCAGCCTCTTCTACTCAATTGTAACTGCAAGCTAGGGTTTAGCTCACAGAGTGTTTGCTACAAGAAAGGACAAAAAACTCTTAATAGGACAGACTTTGAACACAAAGCACTTTGAATGCACTTATCAGATGCAATCTCAGTATTTAAATCTGAACTGAAAATGTTCCTTTAAATCTGGACTGGAAATGTTCACTTACAGCAGCCAGTTTCTTTATCTTTGCCCCAGGCCACGTATAGTGCATCTCCCTAAATTCACATTCATTAACCAGCAGTTACCATAATAACACATTTTGCAGACATTAAAATTTCTGCATTGCAATTTTCCAATAACTGCTGTTTACTAAATCCCTGTTAAGCATTTATTAATCTAAAACCTTTATTAATCTAAAACACCAACCTGGGACCTGCAATTAGTCATTAACCCAGTTACTTAGCTGCTGCTTTACCTGCTGTAGCAAGTGATATGGATGTTGATTATTTAATTAACCTAAAGCAGTGTGAATTACAGATGCCCTTTGGCCTTGTTTGGGACAGAGAACCCATTCAAAAATCTTGGTAATTCACATTCAACAAATGTGGAACATCAGAAGGACACTCGATGGAATATAATCAGCCAAACAATTGTTCACAACCCAAAACTGCTATAAATCTCATTGGCTCATTGCCGATTTACAACTCTTCTATGATGTACTGTATGCATCACAAAATATAAGTAGAAAATATGGCTACTTGCTGATGATGTGAGTCATGAGTATTTCTCTTACGACTTATAAGCTGAAGCTAAGATGTTTAGTGTCTTGAACCAACACAAAGCTGAGGCAACAATTGACAAAATGCAGCAGTAACAGAACAGCACAGACTGATGTAGCGGGGACTGGAGAGGACAGGATGGTGTAGAGGGGACAGGAGAGGACAGGCTGGTGTAGAGGGGACAGGAGAGGACAGGCTGGTGTAGCTTAGACCTGAGAGGACAGGTTGGTGTAGCTTAGACTGATGAGGACAGGATGGTGTAGCTTAGACTGATGAGGACAGGGTGGTGTAGCTGGGACTGGAGAGGACAGGATGGTGAAGTAAGGATAGCAGAGGACAGTCCAGTGCAGCAGTGAGAGGAGAGGATAGTCTGATACAGAAGTGAGAGGAGAGGACAGCCCAGCACAGTCCTGACACAGAGAACCACCCAGCTAAAACTCCCCTTTTCCAGGCCGAGTTGCAGCTAAAACAGGCCACCAACCTCCCTTAAGGCTCTGGCCCTTATGAAAAAGTAACACACAGAAAAATACATTATCTACCATGTGCTTGTTATATTACTAAAAGCACTGCATCTTCACCCTTATATCTTGATACCTACTATGCACTGATGTGATGCACTCTTAACTGTAGAACATCAAATGATCTATTTAACAGCTATGATGTGCATTTACATTGACACCTGTGCATTTAAAGAATGAAACTTTACTACCTTACTATTGACCTCATTTCCAGGACTGTGTTCCTACCTCTGTTGTTAGGATGGAGATACTTAACTATAATGCTGATTCTAGAATTGGTTCCAGCTGTAAGAGTAAGAACTACCACGATCAGTACACAATGGGTGTTTATCAATATGCGTATTTGACCATACTTGTGTTCTCGTTTTACGTCACCTTCCATTGCCGAAGTACAGTTCCAATACTCAAGAACAGAAGTTCAAAGGAAGGTAAATATCAAGGATGTCGTTCTTGCCCGGGCCCAAACATCACAGATGCATCGGTGGCATCCTCATCAATGAGAACAATCGCATCATTCATTGCACCCCAAGTTCATTCTTGAGTTAGCAAGAATGCTCTTGCCAACACCATAAGTACAATTTTTGCGTTCTTGGTATTAATAAATACCCAATAACTATCTTTACAGGAGAACCTGCGGCAGTTCACATGCTGCTAATACCTGATTAAAACCTCATGCTTTTTAAGGACAGACTACACTGACTTTCCCCTTCTGAGGGTACAGGGTGTATCAGTCTTACTGCATCACATAATGCATCTATTATCCTTTAGCTACCTGTCTGAGTATTATGAGTATTGTGTATTGAGTATTGTCGCTAATTATAAACTAACTGTAGGAATATTAAATGGGTTACATTTACCAGCTGAAAGACTATTAGATTGTTTTAAAGGACTTAGTTATATAAACATTAATTTGTTCTGCATTGCCTAGTAAGGATATCTAGTTGAAATGGGCATTTCTATAAATGTCATAATCACCATTCTGTACTGCGACAAAGCAGAGGTCTACTGATGCCAGGCCCTCCTATTCACACGAGTGTCAGTCAGCTACCATGTTGCTGGAGAGCTCAGTAACATAACAGACCTTGAAAAACTCTGTCTGAAGCTTCTCCCTTGATGAAACCATGCTTGCTGTCAGAAGAGCTCAAAAGACTTCAACTGAAGGACTGAACTGTAGGAACCAGCCTGTTTGTCTTAACAGACTGCCCCAGCTAGAGTAATATTATCTAGTTATCAATTTAACTAGCTATACTATGCTACTACTTAGTTACACTGCAATTGTAGTTTTTTGTGCCAGTTAGGACAGGGGTGGGAACCTGATTCATGGAGAGCCAGTGTGGGTGCAGGTTTTTGGGATGACCTCTCAGTCAGCGAATTCATATTATATTCATATATACTAAACAAACAAACAAACAAGAGTACAAGTCCATTCATATTACATCTAGACTGATTGGGGCTAAACTGGAGATAAAAAAGATTAAAACCCAAACTGGGACAAATATTCTAAAACAGGCTTGGTGCTGGCCAGGACTAAACCATTTCCCCAAAGCCAGCCATCCCTATCAGACCACAGCTGTCACTTTCAGAAAGGCCCCCCTTCCTCTGGCACTCACCTGTGCACCACATTTCAGCCCTTTTACTTCCACTTCTAATTATGGTCATCAGATTGTGATATGAACACATCCCGCACTGCAAATCGCCTCTGTTAAATAGATTTGTTCATTGTTTTGCAGCAGCGTTGTGCGAGGGTGTGTAAACCTGCCTCAACATAGCGACTCCACATAGCAAGGGCTGCAGAAAAGGTCACTATGACTTGTCTGGGTCGCTTGGGAAGCCAGTCATAATAGCCCAAGGTGGGGAGCGGGCAGGGAGTCTGGTTGGCGTGTCTGAATTTGACTAAGCATTTTTCATCTTTCCTAAGCCTCTATGCACACATCAGCATCTCAGCACACAATGAGTCCTCCATCAAGGACAGCTGCCACACCATGGTAAAGCAATGCTATCACAAATCATTTCCCAGATCATTTTCTAGCTCAAGTATGTTCCATTCATAGATGCACTAACATACCTCAGTAACATGCAGCCTGATATTCCCTGAGCGATTATCAATATGCAGCAAGTACTTCATGAGATCACAAGCATTGGTCATTACATCTTGTCATCCATTAACCATTAAGCTACACCAGGCTAAATTAGAAGACACGGGATCTAAATGAAGACCAACAACCTTCTGCTGGTAGGGTTATTCCTGCAGAATGTGTTCCTGTAAAGCAGTTTAAATGTGCAAAATAAGAAAACTATATACTGTCTGTCTAGTGCAATGTACTCTTTTGCACTATTTGGACTGTCTTTGCATTTTGTCTGACTGGCACTATATTTTGGTCTGTGCCCTGCATTCTCTTTGCTGTATGCACCAGAATTTTCCCTGGGGATTAATTAAATTCATCTTAATATTACCCTCAGTCCTAATCGTTGTATTATATGTACATATTAACGTTATCCTATTACCTTTACCAGGATAAGCAGTACTGGATATTAAAGTCAATTAAAACAATTAATTCAAAATATTTTTAAAAAAGGTTTAATGGAAATTTATTTTACAAAGATTAAATACTTAAAAAATTTTCATTTGGTAATGATTAACAAATTTTCTATTTGTGCTCATATAAATTGGATTTTAATATTTAATCAGAATGCAAGGTGATGGTTTCATAAATGCTTATTTTTAATATGCATGTCAATGAGTGTAAGTATGTTAGGGTCCCTTTTATAATGCAAAATGACCAGCCAAGTGCTGTATAAAATCAGAAATGAGCTATTCACGTCATTTCATACAATATGTTTGAAGTGAAAAGGCATCCACAGAGAAATGTCAACCAGCACCCATACGATTCAGATACAGAAACCCCAGGCAGACCCCAAGGAAATACGGCGAGCTGGAGAATGAACAATGAAATGCGGCTCTGGAAGTCGAAAAAGACGTTAGAGAATCTGACTTGTCCAAACAGAGGGGCTTCTGAGAAGCACTCCAGTCTCTAGCTTTGAGGAGTTCCCCCATCTGATTTGGCCGATAAATAAATAAATAAATAAATAAATAAATAGAAGATGCTCCAGTCTCCGTCAGCTCCATCCCCTCTCATGCATGGCTGCCAGTGATGGTCTACTGGGTGTCATCTCTTATTGGCATGACACAAAGCCCGTGCCAAGCGCCGCTGCCTCGATTCTCCGAGCTAAAGCGGCCTCTGGATAAAAGCTTGCAAAATGACTCGTGTGAGCACAGAAAGTTAGAAATGTTAGGCTGGAACGAGGAAGTGGAGTGGAGAGGGGAGGGACCGCGGCTGCCGTTCCATAGCGCTGCTGCGGCGCTGCGACCTTCAGCACATGGAGCGGGGGACAGCTGGAAGAGCTTCGTATTGCAAACTCAAGGAATAGCAGGTAGAGTACCATTCATGATGATTTTTCTGGGCGACGGCAGGGAGACTAGTCTTTCACATAGTTTGTATTAACTCGGAAGGGAACAGTAAATGTTTGAAAGAAACCACCAGAAAGCGGAAAATGCATCTCCTGAAGTTCTGAGCAGGTGCGCTAGCGGGACTCAAATCCAGCCAGATAAGCGTGATACTGGCAGCAGCGGCAAGCTCACATGATATTCGATTTTTCTTCTAAAACATAAACGAAAGTGTCGTTAAAGAATGTCGGGAATATTTTGCCTGTGTGGTTATTTAAAAAGATTGGGGAAATCGTTATCTTATCCAGAAAAGTAAAGGAATTCTTTCATCATATTCCGAAGGTGCCGTTTTAAAATAATTGTCCAGGAATCGTTTACGTACTTTTTCAAACAACCTAAATATGAATGAATAATATTTCATACTGTCAAGAAATATTAATTACGTGGAAAAATCCGCTTGGCGTCAAAGAAAAAATAAGTTCGTTCCTTTCGCTTTCGAAGAGGGGACACCTGTTGATACGAGCCCGTCCGGCTTATGCCAGTTATTTCGGAGGCATTTCTAAGTCAAAAAAAAAGTTTTGCAGAGTTTCAAATGCGCGGCAACGTTAGAGAAACGAGCACTTATTGCTGAATATATAAAGGTAGACAGCTTTTACTCCAAAGGAAACAAACACGTTAACCCCCAACTCTTACACAATATAGATATATGTAATGTTCTGAAATATGGTTTGTTGCGCAGTTTTTATACTGCACAAATTTGATCTTTTGTACCTACTAAATATGCAATAAAACTTTTTATTCACCTAGGCCTTTATAATGAGCCGAATGCAATAAAATATAACTTAATAAATCTACTTTTTAATGACGATCAGTTCATCGAACTGCATTGTAATTATCTGAATTAGATTATTAAATGTCATTTTACCTTTTTATTGTGTCTGGAAAAAAGCGATTCCAGAGCACTCTCCCTCTTGTGATCCTCCCGTGACTGTTTATATGTTTCTATTTTTCTGCTCAATTTTTCAAGTAAGCATACTTGTATTAAATTTACAATGATGAGGATTTTTATCAAAAGGATGCTACTGTAGCGGGTAATTCGTATTAGCACTGGAATTTATCCCGCTTGACTCATTAATTCTATCGCTACAATTAGTGGGCAGGGCATTTTGTTGCAAGTTGTTTCTCACTTTTAGGGTCAACTAAAAAAACGAACCATTTTATAGAAGACTTACCTTTGAAATTTGGTCGTCTAACACTCTACAAGTAGTAGCTGGTTTGTCCTTTTAGTTGTGGGGATAAAATATTTTCACGATTCGATTTTTCTTATGGCAAAGCCCCATTAAGTGTTTTAAATGTGTTCTATTTTACACATTTTTAAAATGAAACGGTGAGAGCGACACAAAATTGAGTCCATTTCAGGACGGAAGAGGTGACTTTCATCATGAAATTTGTTGTGAAAGTATCATACGGAAGCTGTGTTCTCTAGTTTTAAAATAAAAATAACGAACATTTGTGATAAAAAAAAACTAAATTTATTGATTACCCAATTTCAAATAAACTCGAATATGCGATTAGATAGATACCTAGTTCTCTTTTCAAATCTTTTAGAAAAGTAAATATCATGTCTGTCAAAGTTCCTTCCTATTTAACAAATTTGAATTATTCTCCACTTCTTTAATAGTTATTTATTAATAATGAAATGTATCCTTTATAAATTAGGTTTTGCGTTTTCCATTTGAATGGGTTTATCGAAAATTCATTACAAGTGAAATGGACGTATTAGACATAATTGCTCTTATTTAATTCACATAAAATTATTCTAGCAATATTCGAAAATATTTATATTTTACCTCTTTGGATAGTTTAGTGCCCAAAAATAAACTGTAAAATTGGCCGATGACAAAAATGCGGACGCCCGTCAGGGTACTTTGTTGTTCGTGTACTGGAGCAGATATCAGCGATTGGAAGGTAAGCAGGAGACGGCGCGCAGAAGCGCAGCCCCGCGTGTGCGGCAGGCGGCGTGGAGCTGGCCAATGTTTCCGCGCTTCAGTGGGGCAATCAGGTGTATCAGATGCAAATGGGGCCGCTTCAGGAAACCCCCATTTTAATTGCCCGATTTTTCCACTACACCCTCGAAACTTGGTTTCCTCGCATGTTCTGAAATGAACGGATAGAAAACTATAAAAGGAACTGAAGAGTGTATGTGCGACTTACAGCGTAACACCAAACCCAGAAAACTGACAATCAAGTCTGTAGAATTTAGCCAATATTATTGGGACACGGCTTATGCTTTCTCTACATATTACTGGGCAGTCACTGTAACGAAAGGAGCCCTTCAAGGTTGTTACTGGACAGGATGAAAGCCGAAAACTCATGCCTGTGGAAATACGTCCACTGCAGATTCTGTTAAACCCCTGCAGTTACAGCCTGTCTGTGGCCTGGACTGATTCTCAGACGAGCCGCCATTCCAGAAACTCCTTCGACTTTTAGCATGAATTTCACGACTGCTCGTGCGGTTGCATTTTGTCTGTTTAACGGCCCTGCTGCCACTTTCTACCCCCCCACCCCCCCTCGCCTGACCCTGTTTTCTTCACACTCTGCTCAGCACATACAGCCCTCCTGACCTCCCCCCACGCCCCACCCGAGAGGTGGGACTGGAGACTGTGCCGCTTAACCCGCAGCCCTCTTCCTGCCTTTGAGCTTGTGGCGCTGTGTGCTGCGTGTTAAGGTCCCTGCCGCAATGGCTCTTCCTGCCAGGTTGGAATTCCCCGGGGCCTGAAGTATGGCCACCAGGGGCACCTGCAGGCCAGCTGCCTGACCTGCCAGGATGCTGGATCTGATCGTCAGCAGCATGGTGCTCCTAGCATGTCCAGTGCTCCCAGTGCTCCCAGTTCTCAGACCTTAATCCTCACTACTTCCTCTCCACTTATTACTCTATAAGAAATAACTGAAAGCCGAGCACAGGAACTGAGGGAAATGACATCAATGGTATGGTAATGGAGGAGGCCCAGAGGAGGGTGTGGTGGAGCAGGGAAAGCAGCAGAGATGGAGGCAGTATCACAGGGAGCTGAGAGCCGAGGTCAGGGGGAGATGCTCGTTCATTAATCCACATGTACCAGACACGGAGGCAGTATCACAGGGAGCCGAGGTCAGGGGGAGACGCTCGTTCATGAAGCGCCATGTACCATTACTGGGCAATTTTGGTTTGATGGGGATGCTGCCTTTAGCCCAAATATGGTAAAGGAACCTCCAGCGAAAGCTTCATTCCAGGTTTCTGTATAAAGGTGCTGAATGCCTGCACCTGTAAAGAGATTCAGTTTTTAATTGGACCGAAGGGTACGTAAGAGCGCCGCCTGGAGGCATGCGAGGCTGTCCCTTTCCCTCTCTGCGCTGAGGAATGTGTGCCCAGGCTCAGTGGGCGTCCCCTTCGCCCAGGCCAGCTGTTAAACGGCACAGGGACAAAGCCCCGCTGCCCCCCACCCCCCTGGCGGCTGCGGTGATCTCGCCCTCCACGGCATGCTGCTTCCCGCAGTTCGTTCCAGATCCGTGGAGCCATCTGTCAGTGAAACAGGAAGGCCTGGGTTCCCCTTCTCCCCTGGGCCTGGTCGCGCTATTTCAAGGAGCTTCACTTCTCCCTGTGTGGCCCGGCCCCTCGCAGGACATCTTGGAGCTGCCGTGAGGCCCATCTGCTGTGGGCCACGCTGCATTATTAATGCGGCGGCTCAGGCCAGGCCGCGGCCTGCACTACATTGCCTCTCTTTACAGAAACTTCTTCATCCCCTCCCGCCTATACCACCCCCACCCCCCGTCACTCAAATTTTCTTGCTTTTGTCTCCACGCCTGCTCGCTGCAGCAGTGGCCGGACCATGCAGCGCATCCATGCGTGACCAATAAATTAGCA